GGGTCTCCAATGTCCCCCTAAACACTCCATCATACTTAGACCATGCACCGCATACAACCATAACCCCTCGTGACCTTTCACTCACAAAACCATAACTCTACCAAGCATATCCTACCTACTATCCAACCCAGCAATACCTCAAGTGCCCCATACTCTACCACCCATAATAACCACATAATCCTGAACCTGACCAAACCACCCATACATGTAGGTTTACATACAGGCATGTGCACGTGCACGTGCGCACACACACACACACACACACACACACACACACACACACACACAAATACACACACACACACAGAAAGTTGCAGTACTTCATTACCTTCACTCACAGAGCCGGGTACTGCACTCTAGGGGGAGGCAGAGAGCACAGCACACACTCCTTCCTTTGCTTTCACTTTGCTCAACTATTGAGCAGTCTGACGGCTCCCAGTGCGAGTGGCAGATCCGGCCCTGAGTTCTGAACCTGCTCAGCAAGACGGCCCTGGGGACACACTCGCCCCCTAGCATAATATCCACTCACCAATGCGAGCAGGCGAGTGGAAATTTTAAGGCCTGGGCTAGATATTAAGTGTTCCTATTGGAGGTGGTTCACACAGATGCGATCCACACACATTGCGCTTTGAGTACCATTATGAAAAGGGTACTGTGCGAGTTATAGTGAGTAGAGTGGTATGCATAGATAAGTGCTCACATAGAATTGCTATTGGTAGCAGTTTTGTCAAGGAGAGGCAATTTTGCTCTGACGTCAATGTGATACAATTTTGCATTGAAGTCAGTGGGAGGCAGTGTGTGAACCCAGGACGCAATGTCTAGTCACCATGGTGACCTGCCACCTGGGATTTGTTGAGCCCTGTGCAAAGTCACTATACATTATCTTTAATACGGTTTGCATCACCTTAAACAGCGAGAGGCCAAGGGTCACTGAAGCTGGAGGGCTTAGTTTTAATGTAAATTTTGCATAATGTGCTCGTATGCACTGCATACGAGCACATTATGACATTACCTTGCAGAGGACTTTCTCCTCTCCCTCCCTTTCCTGTGGTTTACTACCGCTTTAAGTCTGTCTGGAGTCCTCCTGGTCCAATTTGATGCAAAGAGAATCAGTAGAAAGCCCTCCTGCATGATCCCTCAGAGTAGGTGAGGGGGAATTCATGTCAGGAAATATCTGTCCTTTGGGTTCAGACACATCAAGCATTTGTCCTATATGGCCAGAATATGAAGCTGCAAGTATCTGGTGTGAAACTGGGCACATGGCACCACCTCATAAAAGGCCACCAATAGACCCTTACACATGCATGAACCAAAAGCTCCCTAGTCCCAAAAGGGCCCTTGCACAAGAATGAAGGAACATAAGTTGCTCTCAAGGAAGAAAGGTTCAGGGAAAAAAATGTGTTTCTAGCATGAGATTTAGACACTCCAATCTGTGGGATCAGTCCAGCAACGACTTTTGTAGGTTGAGGGCCAGCCAAAGCTCTTCAGAACCTGTACCATCCCATTGGCTGTTTGCTGATAGGGACTGCAGCAATTATTCTTTGAAAAGCAATTACCCAGGTACCCCAAGAAAATGATCCACCGAGAACATCCAAAACCAGGCCAAGCATTTCAGTGAAGATGTTGGGGACATGGGAGAGGTCCAAGAAAAGGGTGGTAAACTGGTAATGCTGATGACCTATCAAACGACACATGGCGGTAAAGTGGCAGAAATGGAAAGGTGCATATAGACATCCTGAATGCCTACTGAGAACAGAAAATCTCCAGGAGGGAGGAAAATTATGACTGACCCAGCAATTTCCATATGAACTATTGGAACATTAGAAAGAAGTCCTCATGGGCAGAACACCTCCATTCGGGTTTGGGAACTGGTGCCCACGCAGTGACCAAACAGAATACATGGAAGATGGAGGACTCTTAAAAAGGAACTGCATTATTATTTACATAATTTCATTTTTCACTATTTTAAAAGTCAGCAGCTACAAATGTAGATGCTGATTTTTAAAAGTCAGGTACTTTCCAAGACCTGATCTGTCTTCCCGCAGCCAGTTCTTCTTACTGCTGTGGGTCCCGGGTGCCACCATCTTGAACGTGGGAGTTAACTGCAGCTTCCTGAAGAACTACAGCCAGCTCACATGGTGCGGCGTGAATAGTCCAGCAGCCTACTGGGACATGTGACGTCTCCCTGGAGGCTGTGAGCAAGGTAAGGGACGCCATTTCACCTAGGGAAAGAAGGCAGAAGTCGGAGCGGGCATAGGGAGGGGGAAAAAAAAACAAACTTTATTCTCTACCCCCAAAACACCTGTAACTCAGTGACAGGCTGGGGAGGGGGGGTGGAGGCAAACCAGCAGAGAGAAAAAAAAAAAAAAAAACACTAGGCAGCAAGTTCAAAGGAAGAACCTCCACGGTTATATTCTCTGGAATAATGTCTGTGCCATGTGCACAGGAAAAGCAGAGGGAGCTTAGAGAATTGACTGCATGGCTAAAGTCTTGCTGTAAGAGAGATATGGGTTTCTAGAGCACGGAGCTGACTTTTCTATTGGGGTATAACCTATATGCTAAATTTGGTTTGCATCTAAAATGGAAGGGGGGTCTGCTATGCTAGGGGAGAGGTTTATGGGAAGGCTGGAGAAGTTTTTAAAATAGGATTAGGGGAGGGAGAATTAGAATGTAATGTGACAGATGAGCAAGACATAAAATGGAGGGTAAATTGGGGAAAGGCTATGGCAAGCGATAAGGAGTTTCCCATGTTATCAGCAACCATTGTCAATTATAGTATTATTTGTGCTACAAAACAATTTGAAAAAAACCTAAATACAAAATGCAACAATGGATTAAGAGGGTTGCTCACCAATGATAGAAGTCTGCCAAGCAAAATAGGAGTGTTAGAAGCTTTAGTGCATGAAGAGTACTATTATTTAATTGGTATTGCTGAATCTTGGCTTCATTCTTCACACAACTGGGCTATTAATATTCTTAGCTATGTTCTTTCAAAGGGACTGGGTAAAAAAAGGTGGTGGTGTCTGTCTCTATAGGGGAGGGGGTGGGGGGGGGGGAGAGGGGTTACAAGTTAGTGTGAAAAAGGATTTTGTTATGGAGGAGTGCAATGGTGCTGAAATATCATGGATGGAGCTTCATACGCGTGTGTATATTTTACTATTGGAGTTTGCTACTGGCCACCCAGTGTTAATGAGGAGGTGGAGAATCAGCTGCTTGCACAGATAAAAAAAAAAAAAAAAAAAAAAAGGGATGCAAGGGCTAGGGCACTGATAATGGGATATTTTAACTATCCTGAAATTGACACTGATGACACTGCTGGAACAGTAAAAGGGTTGAAATGTATAAACCTATTAGAAGTTAATTTTATGGTACAGTTTTTGGAAGCCCAAACTAGAAATCATGCTCTGCTGGAACTGGTAATCTCAAATCACACTTATTACGAATGTTCATATAAAAACCTCTAGACAGCAGTGATCATAATATACTAATTGTAAACAAGCACATTTTGGAAAGATAAAAAGAACAAAAAAAAAAAAAAAAAAAACAAAAAAAAAAACTTTAAGATAGCAAATTTACCAAAGATGAGGGATGCTTTCTAAGACTTTAGATTGGAAGGGAATATTGTTATTGAAACCCCACATAAGAAATGGGAATGTTTCAAATCAGCAAAAAAACACTGCAAAATTTATTCCCATGGGCAGCAAATTTAAAAATTAAAACCTTTGCAGCTCATGTCCAACATTAGAGAAGCTATAAATGAGAAAATGGTATTTAAAAACTATAGCAATGAAAGAACATTACCTTTTAAAGTTAGAGAATGCAGCGGAATATGTAAAATCCAAGGCCACAAAAATTCAGAAACTAAGTAGGACAATCTCCAAAAAATTAAATTAATAAAAAGGTTAGGCATGAACAAGTAGGCCCTTTACAAGATAATTTAGAGTTTGTGTATGGGGACAAACAGAAGGCACCGCCTCCCCGTTTTTTTTTTTTGCACCCCCACTTACTGAGAGGTGGGTGCTGCACATTTCAGATACTCACCTAGAAAATTTCTGGAATTAAACTGATAAACTATTTGCCTGGAATGTCACTTTAACTGCAATGTGCTGAGACAAGGCATTAGTCAGAATGACTTTGGTTCTTGAAGTAGAAAGGCCAAGTGTTTAGGCAATGTGGCATAAATCGAGTGATCACTTTTATACGACATGTGCCATGTGAGGTTTGACTGCCAAACCATTTATTGCACTTAACATGCAAAATGGCCAGGCTCCAGTACAGTAGAAAGAAGAGCAGGGAGAAGCACCATGCTCAACCCTGACAAGCAGGCAGAAGGTAACAACTGAACCAACTTTACAGCCTGGGGGGCAGGTTACTGCTGCAGTAAGGGGATGTGGCAAGGCAGGCACTGCTGTAGGAGTGGAGGGGATGAGCAAGCAGAAGATTGTAATTTTAAGGTGGTGGGAGAGTTCTAGGAAGGTGCAGGAGCAGCGGGGGGGGGGGGGGGGGGGGGGGGGGGGGGGGGGGGACGACGACAAAGAAAGAACTAGACTGTGGAGGTGGCAAGTCTAGCTCTGGAAGGAGTTAACTTTCTTCCAAATTACCTTGGTAGGTAAACACAAAAGTGTAGGTGTTGGGAAGTGTGAAAGAAGCAGAGGCCAAGACACACAGGGAGGATTTATCCCCCCAGTTAAAGAGTGTTTGACTTTTATATTATGCAGGCTAGGATATCAGCATTGTCAGACCATTTAGAACATATAAGATGCTGCCTACATAAGACAGAAATGTTACAGACAGTACAAAATTGATGCAGGGTTCCAAGCAAGCTTATATAAAAAGGCTAGCGTCAAATGAGACTAAACTAAATAGAAAGGATGCCACCAATTTAACATGAACACAATTTTAAAACTATATCTTTTAATGTTTACTGTCCAACTCGGGAACCAAGGCATGAAACAATGGTTAGTTATGTGAAATTTGATCATGAAGCCTCCAGGTCTAACCTTGATTAAGATAGGTGAGGGTCTCTTCATGAAGCTTCACAGCGGGGGAGGTAGCTGTACACAACACATACTGAAAAGGCAGAATCTTGTTTTCATTTTCAGGAGGCAAACTGGATTCTTCTTGCTTGAAAATAGGCAGGGCAAGAACATCACTGTTGTAAAAACAAACAAAAGTAAGTGATACAAAAAAGACAGTTCATATATGCACTTAGGCTCCATGCACACAGAGTGTTTTGATAATGCTAGAAATGTTAGCTGTGTAAAGTCATGTTAAAAATATGAGGTTTTTTAGCTTTTTTGCATTAGTGGTGTTTTTGGTATTTAGCTGGGGTTTTTATTTTTTTTTTCTAACCAAAAAAAAAAAAAAAAATTTTTACTTTTTGGCCAAAAAACAACTGTCCAAAAATGCCGGTTTTCCGAGTTAGAGCGCTTTTTACAGCTTTAAAAAAAAAAAAAAAAAAAAACTCCTCTAGAAACCTACTAGTGCTGTGTTTCTTTTTCAAGCCAAAAAAACATTGATTACAATCGGTGTGTATGGACACATAGGATAACATACTGGGGGGTTTACTAGTTGTAGAAAAAAGAAACCGTCATAAGCCAAAAACAGCAGCTGTAAAAACATCCAGTGTGCATGAGGACAAAACCATAATCATAGAAAGATTTTTACGGGTAAATCTCAATGCAATCTTTATCATTTGGTTTAGAGGGTTTCATCATCAAAAACAGATTGTAATTTCTGTATGGTGACAAATCAAACCAATATTAAAAGAGCCAAACAAGTAAAATTACTGAAATGCTAAATCTTTCTGGCTAATAGTACATGTCAGAAAATTAATTCAGTACATATTTAGTCTGAAACATATGTAGTGCATTGCAGTCAGATTGAGCCATTTATGCACACACTGCTTTTGTGAGAGATTTTACCCACACTTGAAACATGATTCTGTCCAACCCAACACCATGTCTCCCTTCGAACGGGCATGTTGCAAAGGCCCACACAGACGGGGCCTCATCTCGTGCTTATACTCCCACCTCACAACTACGGTCACAACACCCCTTCCTCCATGCACCCATAGATGGGAAACAGACTTATGTAGGCAATTAGACCTTTCGGAGTGGGAACACATTTGGGCTAATACAAAATCGTCATCTCAGAACATTGTTGCACTGGAAACCAATTATAAAGTTTTAATGCGATGGTATTTGGTCCCAGCGAGAATTGCAAAGTATACTCCTAACTACTCACCCAATTGTTTTAGAGGCTGTACAGACCTAGGTACACATTTCCACATATGGTGGGATTGTCCAGTCACTCAAGCTTTCTGGATTGAAATCTTCCATATATTATCCGCACTCCGTGCCACCAAGTTACAACCCAATCCAGCCACAGCCCTACGCAATCGACGCCCTCCGGGTATTACCAATTCAGAATTCAAACTTCTTCTGCATGTCACTACGGCAGCCAAGCAGGTCATAGCGAAATCCTGGAAATCCCCCACCTTAAACATCACAGCTGTTAAATGTAGAATAACGCAAGCTATGATACACACAAAGGTGGAAGCCACGATTCTTGACACGATCCCTAAATTCTTAAATGTTTGGAGCCCCTGGGTAGAATGTTTTCTCCCACCTAATTTTGACGAATCCCTTCCTCTTCCTTGATCTTCATACAGAGTGCCTTGGACATTGTTATCGGCCCACCCTATATGATGCCCGCCTGTTACCATGCTCCTCCTTACCGCTCACGGAGTCACTGCTGTTACCCTCTTTCTCCCCCTTGTCCTCACCTACCCCCTCTTCTACCCTCCTCTAAAGCCCCTTAATCTTCCACAACGTTCCAGTGAGTCATTATCCTAACTGATCGAAAATATGAATCCATCGTTGACAACCCCCAACTTTTTACTATCATTAAAAACTTTGCATTGTTTTTGCGATATATTTTTTCGTTATTATTATGACACTGTCATTGTGTTGTCTATTCCCAACATTATGTTATCAGTACAATTTCTGTTGTATATTGATGATGTCTCTCTGCCTGTTACATTGGTTTTACTGTTAATAAAAAGTTTGAACAAGAATCATGATTCTGTCCAGGAACTTGGTTGAGTAGATAAAATCATTTACCAAATAACCTGGAGATTGTATTGTTTTTGCAAACTTATAGCAACCCTCTTTTAGGGAGGAAAAAAAAAGGGGGGGGGGGCAGGAAAGCAGCACTTCACAGGCTGTCAAATTCCTAGATTTCACCGGATCCCCCAGCTGACGTCCACATTACTATAGGGGACAGTGATGACACAACGGTCAGCAGAAGGAACAAGAGAGAGGGTCCCTAGGGTCAACTCTCCTGGAATGGTCATTTTCTCCCACACATTTCATTTCTCAGGATTGGATTGGCATAGGACAGCGGAATAGGCAAGTATTCCATCTCCTCTTAAAAGGTAGTGTTTCTTCACAAACCTTACAACAGCGACACAGATCCTTTAGGTTTCACATTGCACAGATGCAAAAGAAACAGCAAGAGAACTATGCAAATCATGTTTATGTAACAAGCAGATATAACATTCCTCATGTATATTTATAATTACCAAGTTTGGGCCCATTCAAGGTAAAGGACGGATAATTATTTTCGGAATTCAATATCAGAGCCAAACAGCACCTGGCTTTTAATTATCCTCTCCTGTGTGTGGGATGAAATCACTGCAATGGTTAACAGTTTAGCTACCAGATTCACTGAGTAAGCAACACACCCTCTTATTGCAAGAATTAAGTGGGGTACATACCATGAGAAAATTGGAAGAAAAATGCTGTACGAGGCACAATCATTTGAGTTTTGTATAGTTTTGTATAGTGTGTACACAACTTTCTAAACAATTTTCAAAAGGGACAAACTCCAAAATGTATCGTACCTTAACAGAACTAAAGATTTTAGTGTAATGTGTACTGTTTTTATTACAAAAAAAAAAATTGGTGCAATTAGTACCATCCTTCATTTTGATCTGCTGTGAAAAATATAGGAAAACTGGATGATTGCAAGCCCAAATTTTCTTATTATGTGCACTGGGCTTTACAGCAAATGTAAAAATTCCATGTGTTGCTGACACAAACGCCTGCACTACTGTCAAACTGAAGTCACTACAGCGTCACATGTGCATAATGGGTTATCTGGGAAGAGCCCCTACGTGGTTACTGTGGCATTTGCCTGGTGTGGTGGAACAAACCACTTCCTCCATTCACTATATTGTTGGGTTTTGTACCTGACAGGGCCCTTCAGAAAGCTGAGCTACTGGCCATTTAGTTCAGTTTAACACATTGCTACTTATAATTCAAATCTTAATACAGTAGAAGTAGGTAGCTCAATTGCCTGGTAAGTATTTTATTTATAAAGCCTAAAAGTTTGCAATGCCATTGTAAAAAAATGCCCATACAGGCCAATATTAAAGCGATACTATTACTTGCTTACACTCAGGGCAAAGGGACAGTGCCTAGTGATAGAATTACAATTAGACCAACCAATGGGTTGCTTGAACCTAAACCTTTTTTGTTATTGCAAACATGAGAATAGTCTTTGGTTAAGTATTTGAAACCATTGTCATAAATTCAGTTAGGTTGATTAGACAGCTCATGTAGGGTACAAAAAGTCCACTCTAAACTGCAAAACAGGGAAAATGCAGCAGAGATTATCCACCATAGCTACCAAGAAAATATTACAATAAAAGAATGCCAGCATTTTGGAATGACAAGTGCATGTCAACAATGGTCATACAAGTACAACCATTCCCTTTCTTTTGGTCACCTAAATAGGTAATTGAAAGTATTTTGTTATAGCTATTCCATAAGCGCAAGAAATCTGTTCATTTTGTCAAATCTTGTAAGGGGATAACTTCCTGTGCTCTCTGCCTGTGCAGGACGAGTAAGGGAGGGTATGAGGAGAGGTCTATGTTCTGTGCAATCCATACAAAAAAAAAAAAAAAAAAAAGTTGGCAGGGCAGACATGATGAAATCAGAACTGTGTTGTCATGTCAAAAAAGGAAGGTAGGTGTTCACTATTTTCATAGCACAGTAAAGATTAATTCCAGGTACAGATATTTTATACATAGGTACATTGGACCAATGCAAGTGTGTATATAGCATACCTGGCCGATGCCAGCTGGAAATCACTGAGGTAGACACCACTACTATCCAGTGATCTCCACTAGCTTCCAGGTCCTGTGCGGAGCAGCTGGCCTGCTACATTCTGAACACAGGGGGTCAGCTGCTCAGCAAAGGCATCATTCAGAGAATGCTTTGTATCTTCTAAAAGAATGCAAAGAACCCTCTGATTGGATGAGGTGGAGGTCCCACAGAGTCAGAGTCTTGACTACTGGAAAGATGTGTGAGACTCCTTGTACAAAGGCAAACACCAAGGAATGAGAAGCATTAAAGTGGTTCTAAAGCCTTAAGGTTTTTCACCTTCATGCATTCTATGAATGAAGGTGAAAAACCTGTGCTGCAGGATCCCCACAGCCCCCCTTATTCCTACCTGAGCCCAATCTAATCCAGGGATGTGCGTGAGAGCAGCAGCTCTAGTCGCTGTCTCCCTCATTGAGCAGACTGATAGCAGCGGGAACCATTAGCAGACATGACCATCACCTAGGACACTAGCTTTAAGGTTCACACTACAGTGGTGCGGTAAATCCCATGAGATTCGCACAGGAACCGCACCATATTCCTGTACAAATCATATGCGATTTGTATGCAGTCCAATTAGAGCCATACATTTTGTATGGCTCTACTCGCACCGCACCAAAAACATGCAGGACCCTTTTTTGGTCCGTACTAGAATAAAATCACATAGAGTTCACACTAAAAATGCTGCAAAATTCTGCACCGCATCAATGTGAACCAGGGCAAAAAAAAAAAAAAACTATAGCTATGCCAATATGGTAGGAGTTATGTCTGGACAGGGATTTCCTGTCTTTTTTGCCAATGACCAATCACCTGAAGGTGCCAGTATAACTATGGTAATGGATATGAAGATAACCTGTGCCCTGTGATGCACGATATGGAAATAACCATACTTTTGGGGCTGGGCAGCATGTGAACTCCCATGATGCAATGCTCATGGTTAGAAGTCAATTGCTCGGACAATGCACAGCCATCTGACAGAGGGAAT